AGTCCAGTCCAAAGTCTTCGGAGTTTTATGAAGGAAGTTTCTTTAGACCGTGGGTTAATAAAGAACAAGCTGCAGATGAAAACTTGTGCTTTCCTTTTCTTGTCCCAGAAGGATATGGTGCAGTCCCTGGCCTGCAGGCTTTTGCATTAATCATTGATGAAATGTATCATTTGAGAATCAGGTGTGACATTACTATATGTTATCTTATTGCTGTTTATCAGATGCTTGGAATTCCTTGGCAAAATACACCATGTCATCACCTGAGAATGAGTGAGAAATGGAGTGTGCCCTGCTCTTACATTGCAAATTCTTTGGCAGAAAGCAAACAAGCTCAGTGTTAATATTGTAACACACTGGGATGCCATGAGCCAAAATTTCATGTAGCACATTGAGCTCAGCATTGGAAAAGGAATGCACTTTGGAATGCATTATAACCAACCATTGCTTTTCTGACAGAGCTCCCTTCTATAGAGTGACTGCTGTATACAGGCTTCCCAAAACACAGATCTGATATTGTAGTATTTTTGTGCAGTTCCTTATAAGGAGTCAGTTTGTCTTTGCTTTTCTTCAGTGGGGCCTAAAAGCAATTCTGCATTATTCCAAGAGATTGCTTAATGATTTGCTAAGCAAACATTCCTGTCTTGAAGTGCATGTTTTCCACACAGGCAGGTAGGTGCATGCAGAAACATTCTGTGTATTAACAGCTAAACGTCTCTGCTACCGAGTGGATTGAGAGTGTTAACAGTGTTGTAGCTGGATTTTGGGAAGAGGAATGAGGGGCACTCTCTAGTTTTATGATGTTTTGAAGCAGAGTAGAAGAAAACAGTGATCTTTTAAAGTTCTTCCAGTGTCACATTTATCAAAGATATTGTGTTTAAAGAATTGGGGCTGCAGTATATTTAACCCTCAGCATAATTACACTAATGTACAATATAAAGTAAGCAGGCTTTTATGATTATCTGCCATGAACACCCAGCCATAGTAATAATACTCATTATTATGGTCTGTCACTGAGCATTTTCTAAATTATTATGGGCTTTTGCTGCTCAAGGAAAAATAAAAAAATGTCTACAGTTATTCTTAGAGTTTCAGTTATTGCAGGAGAACCTGTCTATCACATTTCCTTTCGGCAATGTAGTTCTTCTAATGATATTGATTTTTTTCCCCCACTGGAAATTGCTTTGCTACCAATGAATCTATTGATTGGGTTTAAATTATTTAAAGGGTTAACCTCACATTTTGTGTATGAAAAAAATGTATAACAGATTTAGAATTTAGAATATAAAATATGCCTTGTGTTAATAAGCAGAGTCATATTTGTCACGTAATTGTTTTATTGTGTGTTGAACTCAGAGCAATGCTGAGTAGCAGTCCAACAGGTCACTGGCTGTATCAGAGCTACATAAATTCTCCACATTGTTTGTAGGTGTAAAACTGCTGTAATTGCTCTGAAATTGTTATAACCCTCTTTAATCTCAGTACCTCCTTGGCTCTGAAAAGCAAGCCTGCTACATTTCAGCCTCCCCCTGCAATCCTGTGTGGAATAGGATAGCTTCTTTTTCAAGAGAAAAAAAACATAAACTGATAAGACTTACAGCTCCTACTCCTGTGGTATTACACAGAATAAAAACTCTTCTCATATTCTTGGAAGAATCCCACAGTCTTCTGTCCTGATTTAGGCAGTGACCTTTTACTTCACATCATCCAGTTACTGTATGTTATCTTGGGTCTTCCCCTGCACACGTGTTTTTATATATTTAACTCACTGTTAGCGTTCAGAAACGAGCGGCTTCTGTACTGTCAGCTAGAATACTGACAGATTTTTTTATTTGTTGCTAAAAAAGTCCACGCAAACGTTATGGCAGCTTGTAGCTACCCTGTTGGAAACTCAGACCGTTCCAGCCACAAGGGCCTGGGGGGGCTTCCTGTCTGATATACCATGCCTTATCACATACCTTTCTAATCCACAAGACTGGAAACCCTACTTTTCAAACAATCTGCCCTTAGACTTTACCCGGAGGTATGCAGTTAGTACAGAAGTTGCAAGGTGTATTGATTCAATGTTGAGGCAGAGTGACCATCCAGGTTGGAACTGGGGAGCTCTGGAGACCAGACAATAACTGCATTCTGCAGTGCTCCCAATAAAAAAAAAGATCACGTACACCAAAAATGCTTTCAGATACAGTATATGTTTCTTGTTTTGGGTTAAGATGTTCTTTGCTTTTTGGAGGAGGTACGATGTACAGAGGTTTTGTCTGATCTCCCCCCCCCATTAGAGTCACTTGAGCCTAGTGGTATTTATATTTCCTCATCATTTACCTTGTCATAGTGGTACTTTGTTTTGCAACAAGGTGTCTGTAGGTTTTCTGGGTTTCTGCAGGAGCAGCAGGTGGGCAAAGTTGTGAAATTATTGCAGTTAAGCCAGTCATTAGCTGATTTGGCTCGTTAGGAGTTGAGTTGCAATGAAAACCTGGATCAGGACTGGACAAGCCTTACGGGTCACCCACGAATCACCCGTTTCTGAAGATGGAAGATCAATAGCGAGTTTCATCATTTTAAAAAGTTCAGTAGTTCAGCTAAGCCAGGGCTGGCACACTGGTCCTTGAAGGCTCAGGGTTATCAGTTTTGTCCTTTCAAATGATATCTACACAGCAGAATGGAATGAGTTAATTGTGGTCAGTACAAAATGGTTTGGAGGGTTATGATTTAAGGATGGTGGCCTCCCCTCTGCTGGGGTAAGAGTTCACTTGTGTGCTTTGTATAGTGCCTGCACCATCGCATTAAACAGCTAAAATATTTGCATTAATTGATTTGTCCTCTTTTATCTGCTGATACATTCAGGTTAATTCCAAAGGCTACAAAAGGTTGTCTTGCAATCAAACAGATCCCCCCCCCCCCTACAGACCTCCCCGCCGATTCTGAAAGACCCCAGATGCCAGTCTGGCTCTGTCAGGAGCTCACTTCTCATTTCATTTACTGGCACTGGTCCTGCAATTGTGCTTTAAGTTGCTGCTGTACCATTCAGTCCCAGCTTTTACGCACTGTTTAATCAGTTCACTTTGTCTGCCAAGCCATCTTTCTGTGGGTTTGCCCATGATTAAGTAACTAAACTAATGCCCTGCGCCGTGCAGTATCTAAAGAATTAACTTTGTACTTCGTCTCGCTCAATAGCTCGAAGTCTGTAAGGAAGCTGAGTGGTTTGAAAATATTGTTGCAAAGCAGATTAAACTAATTCAAGATTTTCTTTTAACTTTTTGGCACTGGCTGTTGAATAGAAGTGACCTCAAAGCTGGGAATGAATAGCCCATTTATTTGTTTTTTCTCCTTTGCTTTGTAAATGCAGAGCTGTTGAAATGAATCTGCTCAAGCCTCTGTTGCAAAGGGCTTTAGGTTGTGGCTTTAGCTACAGACTTCACTGATAAAGTCAAAAGAGTCTGACAAATTGGGGGCTTTAATGAAAGTGAATTATGTTGCTGTGCTTCTATTTATGCAGTATGTTCTCCTACAATATCTAGCATGGGTTCCATCACTGTAATATTATATTACTTCTAACATTACAACATTTTACAGTCATGTACATTTTTTACTGTTCTCAAAAAGCAGGTGTGTACTAAGGAATGCCAGTCCAGAAATGTCCTTTGTACTGAAGTCAAACAGAATCCATTATAGCACTCTAAATGACAGTATGATTAAGTGATATATTCTTTGGAAACTCCTTATTTACCTCCACGTTTTTTAAAAGTACAGCAAGAGTAGTAGTAAAGGGGATGTTTAAAAACCATGGAAAGCTAGCTTTTTGCATGCTAAAGAAATGCAGTTCAGTTTTGTTTGTGTGGTGTGAGAGCTGAAGTGTTGGGTTTTTGCGGTTGCTTATATTGAATCAGATCCCAGTGATGTCTTTGTCCACTGCAGTGGGCCTGAGCGCAGTGGATACTGCGGTCTGTGTTTTTCTGCTCTGTGTAGAAGTGGTAGGCACGTCCTTCTTTCATTCTGCTACGGCACATGGGTGAAGTCACTTCCCCGCCCCCTCTCCCTCCATGCTGTAGTTCAGGCACACTGATTTAATCATGGGGATACTTTAGGAAAATGCATCTGACACAAATTGCCACATTATTTTTCAACAGCCTTGTTGAGCAACCTGCTGTACTTTCCCCCAGCGATGGCCGCATGAAGTAGGTGTCCATAATTGGAGCTTAGGGAAGATGGCTTAAAATATTCCCTGAAACATTTACCTAGGGAGTTCCGTATGGGTTTTATTTTAGCTCTGCACTTCCACTGCAGTCTGCCACCCTTCACAGCAATGCATCCAGCAAAGAGGATGCAAGTGTGAGGGAGGTTTCTATCCTAGGGAAGGACACCACCTACTTCTGCTGCCTATGCTGGGAGTACTCCCTTTCCTGGCTTTCGCTTTGATCTCACCGTGATGATTGCACATTGCTAAACTGGTGAAGCTCTGGGACCTTCTTTCCCATGTTTAATTAAGAAATGAAAGGCCGGCCGGCACTGGGAGAATATTCTCCTTTCTGTGCGTTTGAGGTGGGTATAGTCGTTTTAGAAACCAGTTGTTTCTGCCGTGTTCCGGGTGCCTCCTATATATACTGATGCAGCCGGTTTGCAGACCCTGGCTGTGACGGGCCAGGCGCTCAGCTCCCCGTCAGCGGTGAGACTTTGCGATAATTAATACGCGATTCCAGAGCCCAGCTGGCCAGTTCATTATTCTTTACCGCCTCCGCTAGGTCGCGTACCTGCTGTACGCAAAAGGGTGCTGGGGGTGGTAGAAACATGGGGCGGTATTTATTTGTGTCCCTCAGTGCCACGCCGCGCTTCCCTCTGGAGGCCCGTGATGGTGACCGCAGCTGGCGGCTGGTCCTGGTGGCACAGATTGGGGGGTGGTACCCCCACGCGCCCGCAGCCCCCCCGGCGTGGCCCGTACATGAGACCCTGTGCCCGCAGGCCGCTCCTCCTCCTCTGACCGCCCTCTCCCTGCCTTGACCCCGCAGAGCCGAAAGGACAGCCTGTTCTCCCCCCGGCGGCTGCGCTTCGACCAGTTCGCCTCGGTGCTGTACGAGGGGGAGCCCTACATGACCCCGAGGGACTTCCTCTACTCCGTCATGCTGGAGCACGTGGACCGTAAGTAGGCCCCCACACGACAAGCAGGTGGCGTCTCCTCCGCGCCGGCGCCCTGTCCCCCTCGCCACGCCGATGAGCCGGGACTTGGGATGAGTTACGACGGCATGGCAAATCAGCTTCTTTTTTTTCATTTCAACATTTCAGATACAGGCAAAAACGAGCGCTTTACTCTCCTCAGCTGACGTGTGGGATTAATTGCACACGCAGGCAGGTTTCCGACAAGACTCCGGTGAAGGGTCGTGTGCCTGCGTGTGGCCGCGGTGCTGTGAGGTGACACAGAGAGCAGCCGGGGCACATTATGAAGCCAGGAAAATGAGTAACAATGCATGTTTGAAAGACCTCGCCTGCAGCTGCCAATTAGGAGGAATCCACAGCAGCCATCCAGAACTGGTTTTGAAGTGATTGCTCAAGAGTAGCTGCACTGACCATACTGCTATTAATTAGTAATGAAATTGTTTTACAGTAAGCAATGCCATGTCATCTTACAGTAAAACATTTACTGAAATCATTTCATCACCGCACAGAATAAATAAGCCAGTGATCGCTTTAGCCGTGTTTTTTTTTCCCCAACCATCTGGGACAGCAGTTTGCACCCTGTAATGAAAGGTAATTCAATTTCCTAGTCTGTCTGTATGACGGACTTCATCATCTATTCCTGACCTGTGCTTCCGATGACAGGCTAGCCCAAGCTTCATCCATCAGATTTACTGATTTGGATTTCAGAGAAAGTCACACGAAATATAATATTTCTGAAGGGCCAGCAGTTAATTAATTCAGATTGTTTAGGGTGTGAGATGAGATCCCCACATTATTTAACTACTAGTAACCAGTCGGGAAAGACGGGCCAAATCACCTTCTCTCATTTACAACCTTTCTTACGTTCATATGTATTGCTGCAATACCTTGGAGTGGTGCTTCTGTTGGACTGAGTCATGTTCTAAAATATTATTTTCTCAGGAATTATAAAATAATAGTGCGAGACATTTACTACCAGACTGGGCTTCCTCCCCAGAAGCACTCCAGAACCGAGCCACTGAACACTGCATTTAACTGTCTTCTGAGCTGGCTAGGTGATGAGATTGCTGATTGCAGTATTTAATTGTTTGTAATGCATGTTTTTGTAGGAAGGTACATTTCCTTGGCAGAGATTTAACAAGGAATGTAAAAGCAAAATAATTCGCTGTGAACAGTTTTTCTTTTGATGTACTTCAGAGCAATGCGGAGGCCTTAGTTTATCAATCAATTCCTCTAGCCAAGAGCTCCAAAGCAATGTCAGAGGTGTTTAACCACACAGCATCATGTGCTGACACTTAAAATAGGTCAAAAATGTTTTGGCTAATTTTCAGGGCACGCTGAGGCATATTCCCTGTTTACCTTGTACTAGTTTCAAATGTAAATTGATAAGTCTATAATTTAAAATCCCTTGTTCTTAAAATTACTTGTATGTCTCTTGACACTTGAACAGTCATTTTAGGTTTTCGGCATATAGTACAGTTTGACAATCGTGGCTTTTATTTATTTTTTTAAGAAGAATTTTCTTGAAGGTGAGATTATGCACCTCAGGAAATCACCTGTTTGAACAAAGGCTATATAGATGTAAAGTTGTTTTAAAAGAACTCCACGGTTTTCATAGCATGTTAAGAATTACCCTAAAGAATCGGCTCTGTAAACTTGACTCTTGAGTTTGCATGATGTATTATCCCTGAAAGCTGCAGAAGTGAACTTGTCTCTGAAATAAGACCAACCGCATGTATTTCTGAGTTGCAATTGAGGTAAATGTTGTCAGTGAACTTCCATAAAAAAGAAAGTCATTGTGTTCTGTCACAAACACGGCTGTTGTCATGGATGATGGGAGTGTCATGCCCTCCCAGGAACTGATTTAGACAGCATCTTTTTTTGTCTGAAACCTAACATATCCTATCTCAAAACTCCGTTATTACAAAGATTGCTTGTCTAACTGATAGCAGACTACTTTTCAACTTTGCATCCAGTACAATGCATGGTTTCATAAAATTGTGATAATGTACTGTATAGTGATTGATGTATCACACCTTCATCATGATGTTTTGACTTGCCCAAAGCTGAATAAAACACCGGCAAATACTGTGCCGGTTATAAATATGGATGGGTAGAGATGGATTCGTGAATTGTTCTCCGTTTAAGGAAATTGCTGACATGAACAGGTGTCCTATGAAATTAATACGTCAAGGCCCCCAGACTGAACTAATATCAGTTGCAAAGATGACTAGCTAATGAGCCCGGCAACAGGTTTTGACTCCTGTAGCTCTTGGCGCATATAACACAGTTAACAGCCCCTTTGCCCTTAGTAGGTACCAGCCTACATTTATGACAGAGAATAGGTACATTTTCATACCCGACCCTAAATGTTCTTTGCAAACAGTACAATCACTTCCAATTCACTGGGGAAAATGGAGGAATCGAAGCCCAAAAGACAACTTGTATGCTTCATACGTACTTGGGGGTTGAACCTGTGAAGAGCAAATGCAGAGTAAGAACTGTATATTGTCCTCAGAACGTTCCTTCTTTTCCACGTGCACCGCCAGAAGGGACCTCTCTTTGTTTCTCCCAGCAGAGCAGCTTCTGTGCCTACAGGTGTTTCTCTCGGAGCCTGGCACTGCAGCGTGCCCTCGCCAGTCGGTGACTTTCTAGAAACTGCACCCCTTCAGAGTAGCTGAGCCAGCCTGTAAAGTGCTATAAAGTGTTTTACAAGCTGAGTGAATGTGTGCAGAAAGGTTCCCGACCTCATTTCAGGGGCAGGTAAACTCTTGTATCACATAATTGCTGATACGGTCAGGAATTTGTGAGATCACTGCGTTCTCTACTGATCACATCACACCTGTGAGCCCTGTGTTGACCAGAAGGTGTCACAGGGGATATTTACAGTCTGACAAGTAAACAGTCCTAGCTGATAAGGAGGGACTTTGTATTTTAGCCTTACTGCTTCTGAAAAGAAATCAAGGACTGTAGATTTTGGCCGAAAATAATAACAGGACGGAACAGGGACTGTCGTGATTATACTTGGAAAAACGTGGCCATTAGCAACCAGGTGAATGTTATGTTCTTCAAATTGAAGCAAAGATACTACCATTTTGCATCTGAGAAATGCTTTTAAACCATTCATTTTTAAAGATGGCCCAGCATATGCAGAATAAAATGACCCATACTGTACATGTTGGATTCATTAAAACAGGCTTTCACAGAAAGGTATGTTTGAATTTCATTGAGCACACCATGATCAATTCAACTGACATTAAGAAACCTTTTTTTTTTTCAAATGGAAAGTGTGAAAGCTGAATGGAGAGGAAGTCTCTCAAGAACGGCAGGAATATCCTGAACACAGAGCAGAGAGCAGAGCTCCCCTGAACACAGAGCAGAGAGCAGAGCTCCCCTGAACACATAGCAGAGAGCAGAGCTCCCCTGAACACAGAGCAGGGAGAAGAGCTGCAACTGAACACAGAGCACTGAGCTGCACATGAACAGAGTGAAAATGTCCCAAACACAGGGCACGTATAACCCTGTTTCCACAGTCAATGCCGGCTTGGTGCAGCCTGATCTGATATATTTATTCAAACACATGCCATAAGAAAACTAAAAACAAACGTGCATTATGATAGATTTGACTAAATCTAAGCATGCTGCCTTGGATTTTTGATCATTGCGCCTTAACACAGCAAACCCTGCTCAGAAAGCCATGTACCATGTAACTGGATTACGCGAATTTTGAAAGATTATGTAGCTTTAGGATTTTGGCTCTTGTTCACATTACTCTTGCAATAAATACGCCTGTTGAAATGACTCCTAGGCTTGAATCTACTGTATATATTATGAATTTTTAGTAATGTAGAACCCACAATGCAGCTTTTGATACCACTAATTGGTGTGACTAAAATAAGTCTCACATCAGTTGTCCTAGAAAATTGAAATTGTTACTGTTGACAGTGGGGGGGGGGGACATTAGACTGAAAAAGGGTTCAGTTAATCTGTTTTTGATGTACCATATTTCAAATGTGAGACGTAATTCAATATTTATGAAAATCATAGCTTGGGGGGAGAGAGATGGTCAAAAAGTCTGAGGAAGCAATGAATTAAGAACCCTTACGAGGTATTGTGTACAGAATGAACCTCCTGATGAAAAATGAAACCAGCATCCAGTATGTAAAAAGAAGGGCATCTTTTGCATGTTTTGGGGTTGAATTATTCATATATATGTTTTGAGACGTGAAGGACGCCTAGATAGGAAGAATTGAAAGAACAACTTGGCATCTCTGGGTATCACCAACATCCTTATCCATACAGTATCTCCCCCCTCAGGAACCTCCTAATAGATAAGCACTCATGTACTCATGTACTGTAGATGCAGTGAAAGTCATAGCCAGTATTTTGGGGTATAGCGTTTGCTCGAAGAGAGGGGTCAATAATTTGAGAACAATCTTTGTTAAACTATTTGTTTTACACTTTTAACAATTGGGAGGCTTTGGGGAGGAGGAGTAGGAGCAAATAAATGTCGAACAGACCTCTTACTTCGAAAACCCTCGCTGCCTGTAATATTTGCTTTATCACAGTATCAGCTTCGTCTACAGTAAATATACATTAATCATTTACAGCATGTTCTTAAAGGACTATTTAAAAGCAGAGGAAGTAAGATTTGACTTAACTTGGCAAAGCGATAATATTGACAAAGAAAAAGCACACTGGGAAATGTTGCCATCTGTGGCTTTGTGTTTCATTGAACCGGATGCAGGGTGTAAGGGCTTGCACTGAAGATCGTATTTAGACATTTTTAATTGTGTAAATGTATGTCGCCAAGTGGTCCCACGGCAGATTTAACTTAAACTTTGGGGACGGTGCATTCCGCCATATTGAAAAGACCCTTTTGCTTTGTTAAGCAGCACGTGAAGAAAGCAGACTGCAGCTGTGAGTGCAGCGCTGTCGCGAGCCCTGACGCTTGTTGTAAAAAGCCTAGCCTGCTGGTTTTTAAT